CCACATGTGAGCTGCTTGGCCCGCCTGCGAGCACTGACCTATGACCCAGGAGGTCAGGGTGCGATTCCCGGTCAGGGCACAGGCCCGGGTTGCTGGCTCAACCCCCAGTAGGGGGCGTGCAGGAGGCAGCCGATCTGTGATTCCCTCTCATCATTGATGTCTCTCTCTTTCCCTCTCCCTTCCTCTCTGAAATCAATAAAAAAATATTTTTAAAAAATCTATAAAGTTGCTTGCAGGCAGGGAGGCTCGCACATGCTCTCAGCACTTACTGAGTGTTAGCCACGTCCCGGAGGCAACGGTAGCTGCTGGGAGCATCCCTGCCCCAAGCAGCATCATCTGTGCCTGGCTGACACACAGTAGGACCTCCAGCGTATCTGTCCCACCAGGTCTCATTAGGGACGATGTCAGGCACCAGGAAACCTCCCAGGTGGTCAAGAAGGCTCTTTCCTTCTCTCCCTCCGAGAGGCAGAGGAGCGAGTGTCCGCAGGGTTTGCTAGTGAACATACTTGATCCCAGTAAGCACCAAGGCAGCGGTTCTCAACCTGTGGGTCGCGACCCCTTTGGCGGTCGAACGACCCTTTCACAGGGGTCGCCTAAGACCATCCTGCATATCAGATATTTACATGACGATTCATCGCAGTAGCAACATTACAGTGATGAAGTAGCAACGAAAATAATTTTATGGTTGGATCACAGCATGAGGAACTGTATTTAAAGGGCCAGAAGGTGGAGAACCACTGCACCAAGGTCTCCAGCCCATGGCTGTGCCCAAGGAGGGGTCACAGGTGCATGTGTGGGCTCACCCATCACCCGCCGTCACATCGAGATGGCAACGTTTACAAGCCCGTTCCACAGACACAATCCAGGGCCCACGGGGAGACCAGCACGCACGGAGAGTCAGCCCCGAGCACAGACGCGGGTGGGCAGCGGGACTTGGGAGGAAGGCGCCGTCTCCGCTTCTGCAACACGACAGGTTCCACATGCACAGTGGCCCAGGGAAGGGAGAAGGTGTGTGTGATGTCATCGGTGGAGGGGTGACACTTTCAGAGGAGAAGGGCTGGGGGTGGCGAGTGGAGAGGGGAAGAGGGGAGGAGGGGAGCGTCCGTCTGGGGGAGTGTTGTGCTTGGAGGCAGTGGTTACGGGGGACGGAGGTGGGCTTTGGCCGGGAGACCCTGCTGGACCGACAGGCAGCGGAGTCTGCTCTTGATTGAGGAGGCCAAAGGCACAGGTTTTCACAGGGGAGGGTTCAGTGGCAGCGAGTTCAGGCTGTAACAGGAGAGATGAAAGCAACCGTAGTAATTTATTTAAGAAAATATGTTTATCAATGTCAGAGAGGAAGGGAGAGGGGGAGAGAGAAACATCCATGATGAGAGAGAGTCATGGATCAGCTGCCTCCTGCATGCCCAACACTGGGGATCGAGCCTGCAACCTGGGCCTGTGGCCCAACCGGGAATTGAACCGTGACCTCCTGGTTCAGAGGTTGGCGCTCACCCACTGAGCCCCGTGGCCGGGCCCACTGTAGTCATTTAACAAGCACACGCACAGCACGTGTCCATTCCGCCTCGCAGCTCTTACTGGTGGTGCCACTGTGACGGAACCTCAGCGGGCTCTTCTCCTCTGGCTGGGGAGCAGCCCCCCGGGGAGGGACTGGCTGGGAAGCAGCCCCCGGGGAGGGACTGGAGCAGCCCCGGGGAGGGGCTGGGAGTGGTCCCTGCAGCTCCCTGGGGGACGCCTTTCGCACGGACTGTGCGAGGGCAGCAGCGTGTGGAGTGGAGTTTGCAGGGAGGAGGGGAAGCACAGACTGTGGCCGAGGCTGCGGAGAGGCCATATGCTCCCGAAGCGAGAGGCGAGCCCTGCACATGCCTCTCAGCCGGGGGTTCTGGATCCAGGTGCCTTTTCCCGGAAGCCCACCAGGAGCGCCCGGTCTGTCCCCGCTTACCTGCCAGCGCCCCAGCACGGGCTCCTGGCCTCCTGCCCGCTCCTCCTGGCACAGGCCTAGCCTCTGCGGCTCCTCCCA